ACTCAGAGATTTCCGGAAAACAACAACTTTTGGATGCGTTGGGAAAACTCTTTACCGTCTCTGAGGATGTCAATGTGTGCTTGTATTGTGGTAGCACCAAACATGGTCATCTTGAATGTGAACATGAGAAGAGGGATGAAGTCAGAAAGGTGCTAAAGGCCGTCCGAGCGTCGCTCGAGGCTGATAGTCCAACATCTGATGACGTCGATGTGGAGCCTCCTGAGCATAAGAAGGACGGTTCAGGTGCTACTGAAGGGTCGGGGCAAACGGACGAACCTACAAAACCGAGGTTTAGTGAATACCAATGGTACGACAACATCAGGACTATGTCCAAAGTCGGTGACCTCGATGAGTATGGTAGGTTCTGCATCGAAGGACGTGATGTTACAAAGCTGGGACCACAGAACGTTGTTGACCTCAACGAAGTGATCCGAGACGCTATTGTCAGAGGAGGAGGCGACACTTGGTCAGTGCCAGACTTCATGGCAAGCTACTCTGACAACAACATCAGGAAGACCTTCTACAAACGAGTCGAAGCGCCGCAAGATGGTTTCTTGAAAATCATCCCGACGACGGGGGCCCATTTCTTCAACTGCTCTTACTTTGGCGGTGTAGAATATGCGGCCAACTACCGCTTTGAAACTGGCAACCGGCTCGACACCTACGAGGACAAGGTGAGTACCTCACTAAACAGGATCCTGCGGCACAACGTGGGGAAGGTATCTGAGCAGCAGAGTCTGTCCTGTGATGACGCCGGCTGGGTGCCCATCGAGGAGGTGCTCAAATGTGAGTCCATCTGGAGGCACGAACACGCACGCTGGCCACACGTATTCCTTGCCCCAAAAGGAAGAGCAAATGATCAGAGTGCATGGAATGTCAGTGAGGCGAACTACCGCATGACATTGCTCTTTAAGATCATGTTCCACTGTGCCCGGTACGGACGTCGTGTGCGTGAACAAGTCTTGGCATTTGGGATCAACAAGGACATTGATCGCAGCAGCCTGACGTGCATTGACAACAAAGTCGAAGCGGACACGCACATCCCTGATGAAGGTCTACTGCTCTACCCTGTGGCGGTCCGTGCTCCTACGGGGCACAAAGAAGGATCTTCAAGAGACGACGTTTCATTGCTGTCCTCGTTGCTTTCACATCCAATCGCACCCAACACCATTCTGTCATTACCGGTCTGTTTCCACATCACCAAGAAGACCAACCTCCGAAGCATTTGGAGGCAGGGATTAATTCCAGGAGGTCTTGGAGAAGGTCATCGGATGTTCACGTTCTTCAACCCGTATGTGCCATGGGATCACAGATCATGGACCATCACGAAGAGCGTTGATACGCGCAAGGGGGACTACATTTGCTTGTTCATCCCGACCGAGACCTTGATGGTGGAATATGGCGGTCGACTAACTGACTCGGGACAGATCGTTTCACCAAAGATCATCCCGTTCTCGGCAATCAAAGGAGGATGGATTCAGGACCCCAAGGACCAATACAACAAGACATGGCTCCGGTTGTTCGTCCCGTCGGGCGACGACCAGGTAGTCCGGTCTGGAACTATCAAATCAAGAACGGTAGCCACCAAGGAGTCCATCCTGAGGGTTGCAAGTCAATGCATCGACGCCGAAGACCAACCGTAGGATGCCATGAACATCGTCAACCAGTTCAAGAACAACCTCGTCGAGCCTGGCGGACAAGAGCAATACCTGGCCCGCATCAAGCTGATTGATTACATAGTCGAACGCAAAAGGGTGCAAACGTCAGGTTGCCGTCATTGTCCTCACTGTCTCAACGAGACGCCGACAAAGCTAGCAGTGTGTCTAGTCTGCTGGACGGAACTTGAAAGTTGTGGAATCCGTCCATATCGGCTACAAGCTCCTGAAGACGATGAAGATGAGGCCACAAAGAAAGAGCTCGATGAAGAAGTTCGTCGACAAGAAGAATCGTTGTTCAAGGATACGGTCAATCAAGCACAAGAAAACGTATCTGAATCCAACGACTATGGCTTCAATCCTGACGAGGTCGACTACAATGAAGGCGATGATGAGGAAATGGATCAGGAGGAGGAAACTCAACAGGAAGACGACGAAATCGTTGAAGAAGACGACGATGAAATGGACGTCGAACCTGAAAACGAACCTTCTTCCAAACTTCCAGCATGGACTAAGAATCTTGAGAGCGGCAGCAAGGGTATGCCAGAAGACGGACTTATCAACAATGATGTCTCCGAGGCCGCGGCTCACTTGTATGACAATGCCGTCATGTCAAAGGTCATCACAATGTTCAGGCTCTACTATAAACAGAGAGTCACTCTGACCCCAGAGGAGTACTATGAGATGATGACGGAAACCAAGCGAGTCCGGCTGGACCTGGACGACTTCTGCCCCTACACAGGCGAAGACCAGGATGGCAACCTCAAGCGACCGACAGAGCTGGAGTTGGACGAACTCTTTCAGGAGAAAGGGAAAAGGAACTCATGGTCAGAGGGAGAGAAGATGTACTCAGGACGACCAAGAAACATGATGATGCCTGTCATCAAGACTTTGGAGATCTATGAAAAGATGATGGAATTTCTGGTACGCGCCGGGTACACTCCCGAGTCATTAGGTTTCCTCATGCCAATGAACCGAATGCAGGCTGATGCCCAAGGGAAGCAGGAGATGCGGGTGACCATCAGCAACTTTCTTCGACGACTGCTGAAAGGAACCTTTCCAGAACACGAATCATACACATTCTTTCGCTCCGGGAGCCACGGCTTCCCCAACTGCATCGAACTCCCAGCTTTCTCGGTATATCTGAGTCTGAGGGAGAAGGAACAGAGAGTGGAACTATACTCTTTGCTGCCCAACAATGTGGCATCCCTTTACCTCAAAACTTTGTCAGCAAGATGGCTTATGCTATTCAACTGGCTGAGGCCGAGGCGCAGAGGGGAAAGACCGAGATGAAAATGAAGATGGCTCCAACCCTTGGCGACGAAGTGGTAAGTGAAGTATTCAAAGCAGTCGGACATACTGCCGCTTCCAAGTTTGCCACCGCAGACGCGAAAGCCAAATCATCAGCACAACCTTCACAGAAACCTGAAGGCACTGGTTCAGCATCATCCTCATCGGCTAGCGCACCAAAGGCTAAGGCTATGCCGAGATCCCATGAACCATCAAAGGCACCGCCTGCGAAGCCCTCATCGCCGAAAGCTGCTCCAAAACGTGCGGCAGGATGGGAGAAATCTCCAACAACACCTCAATGGAAGAAAGTCCGCCGTGAGCAGTAAACCAATTACCTCTGTCCGTCAAAATGATCACTGGACTATAAGATGTGTATCGTCTTTGTGAACAGATGATCAGGAAAAGACCAACTGAGTGGACTCTGAGCGAGGCAGTAGACTAATTCGCTTAGGTTCAAGACTTTTGATATTCCCAATCTGCACGAAATTCTGCACTGTGCACGTGAATTCGTTAGTTAGCATTGTAACTCTTTGGTAGCGAAGCGATCCATTTCTCCCGACGGGTGAGTGGCATGCCTAGCCAACGTAGAAAAGTAGATGTTAGCTAGCAATAATTCGCGTTGTACAGCTTGATGAAGCGCCGATGCATCGACAGCCAGAGAGTAGGCGAACCCTGAACCATTATTCCCGTCGGGTATGTGGGAAAGGGGGAGCCGAATGGCACGTTTTATGTACATAGGCGTAATTCAAGTAACAGAAACAATCTAATTCAAAGTTCCCTCTCTCGTGTCCGTGGTTCGAAGAATACCGCGGGCATGGGGGGTGTCAAAGGGAACACAGCGGTAGCACATGTAACAATTGACAATGTTACGGCCATTATGGCTCAAGCGCCCGCAAGAGGAAAACGGCCGCGCGCTGACTGCAATGCCTGGGTAAGGTTCGGTAACAACCAGCACATAAGGTACTACCATTCGACTACATCCGGAACAAGGATTCATTTGTTCACAATATCTATATCTATATCTATATCTATACGTATGTCTATGTATATGTATACGTTTATGTATATATATATATATAGCAGTGGCAGGATCTTCAGCTTCATTTGTAACTTGTAGCATAGTTTTTGGTTTTTGGGTATGGTAAATTTCAGGTACGTTTCAACAAACTTCTCCGCCACCCTTATATTTCAGGACGTTTGTGCCGAATTCATGCGCCCAACACGCTCAGATCCAAAGCATTTGTACCTTTTTCTCTTATTTGTGCGCATTTTGCATGTTGTGTGCGCAGTTGCACATTTTTTTGCGCTTTTTGAGCTCCAGTTTCTGCGTGTTTTGTAAGTGGACCTTCTCCGACATCCAAAAAAAGTACATGTTGGGAATTTCCGTTTATTCAAATATATATTGTATATATATATAATATATATATATATATATATATTCAACAATATGTGTAATATATATATATGATTGAGCTGTCGGAGTATTCAAAAGTATCCTTTCTTCTATAAGCTGCAACACACTGCAAAACACCGTTTCAACACGCTGAAACTCAGGAATGGCACAAAGATTTGCTTGAATGTTGAAGATGAAGATACAGTTGAACAAGCAGAGGCTATAAAATTTGAGATAGGCGGTTTTGCGGATAAAGCATCCAGACTCAAGGGCATGAAGGAGCACCGCTTGAAATTTAAGCGTTTGGAAGTCCCTGTTGCCCCAGTGGCCTTCAGGCTTGAAATGATCCTTGGTGTTGTTTTATTTTATTGGTTTATGTTGTTTTATGTTGTTTTATGTTGTTTTGTTTCTTAGGTATTCTTAAGTTATATATCCATGTATTTATATATATATACATACATATCCTGTATAAATAGTAGGTGTGCCACAATGAGGACTTGTGTCCTTTCCTCATGGTAAGGTATAGTGGTAAGCACCAGTCACGCTGACCCTGGAACTCCAAGGCCCATGGGCAGCTTTGAACCCGGTATGACCCAAATAGTTCACCGTTCTGCAACTTAGTTTTTAGCATATATTTTTTTCTGTATTATTTCCCCCGTTTTATGTCTCAAGATTGGATTAGCCTTTCTTTTGAAGTGGTAAGGACCGAGGAGCATGCTGACAAGACTGCTGGCAGGGCTGGCTTCCGCTTGAAAGCATCAGGCCTCAAAAGACTTTGGCCATTTTGTGCAATTTCAAGCCAGAAAATGCAGAAACTGTTGAACCGGGGTTTGGTTTTCCACCGGCAAGACGCTTCTGTATCTGAAGCAGTTCGAAGTTTGACGTGTCTTATGAAGATTTGTGATCAAAAATCACTAATTCCTCGTTGACGTCTTGATCCTCTTGCAGCGGACTTCCGATAATTCCTGGAGCTTGGCAGGTCAGAAGCACCATCGTCAAAATGTCCAGAATGAGACCGTCGAAGAGCCACAACTTCTAATTGAAAACATGCCTTTGAAGGACAGAGCATTTGAGAGCCGCAGCATTAATTTTCCCTTTTCTGAAGTCAAAGATAAGAGACAGCATCCAAAACATGTGTTGAACACGTGGAGTTAAGATTTGGCGCCAGGAATGGGTTCTCACGCGGCCAATGAAGCAACGACAGAAATTCATGAACAACGACGATGGTGGATATGGCAGTGACTTGCCAGATATTGCGGCGGCCTTCGCAGCAAGATATGGCAAACGTGTAGAGATCGAATTGCTCTTGCGATCGAAGTTCTGTGCTTTATAGCGGCAGGAAGATGCAAGAAGAGACAGGGCGATGCGGCATGAATCTACATCTTCTTACTGCCTGGCAATACAAATCTCATATGATCTCATGTGATCTATAGTGATTAGTAAGAAGAGAGGGCGCAATTTCATATTGATCTCCATGATGTCCATGCTATAGACGTTGCCGCAGCATCTCAGTCTCAAGACCGCATCCTGAAAAAGCTCCTATAGACTCAGCTACTAGCTGTTCTGGTGGGCCAGTCCCTTGAAAGTATCGCCAGCGTAGCTTGTGCTAACTTGTGTCAACTTGTGCCATGGCTCGCAGGATTGGAGCGTTGCCGGCAGTGCTTCTTTTCTTCGGTGCCTTGACCTTTTCAGCCACGGAGCTTCGCGGTCTCAACCGAAACTTTCAAGGCTTCCGATGTGCACCTTTGACAACTTTGACAACTTTGAAGGTTGCCAAGATGCAGGCAGCCTTGCCACCGGAAGAGCTCGAAGACTTTGCCAGAAAAGGCCACGACGGAGGGCACGGGCAGGACTCCAGCTCTGGTGGATTTCGCAAGACTCCGGTAGGGCAACTCCTTTTTCTTGACGCTGCGCTGCTTGCCGCAGCCTTCTTCATAAACCTGAAGTGTGCCAGGAAACTTCATGGAGTGTTGATCCCAGAAGCATTTTGGGGTCGCCTTTTTATTTGGGTCTGATGCTTTTAACGTCTTTCAATCTCTCAATTATATATGACGTTCTGGCTACAGAGACCAGACTAGTACAGGCACGAGTTGCAGCTTCCAGGCTGAGTTGCTCTACATATTTTTGAATTTTTGTTGCAATATAATCTCTAATACATTCAATCTTTAAACATTCGTTTGAATTTGCAGGAGATGTCGGAGATGTGTCAAGTCTTTCAATCTTTTCTACAGAAAGTAGTTGGCCGTCGGAAGCTGGAGCAGGAAATGCACCCAGGCCGCGCTGAGTGCGGTTCTGTGAGCAGAGCTGCCGTGCCTATGACAGACATCGGCTCCATGACTATGACAATCATGACACAGCAAGAAGTTACAGTTAAGACATGTTAGTTGGCATGTTACCGCTTTTCTGACCTTGACCTATCAGACCTATCAACTCCATTCAACTCTTAGATAGTCAGATAATATCAGATAATCCTAAAAAGTATAATCCAAGTGTCGGGATGGAGGAAGGGTGTACCGCTTTCGACCCTACATAGATGGCTTGCTATGCTTGCTATGCTTGCTGTTCTTAATCTGATGTTGACAATTCCAAGCTGAGTGGTTTGTGGCCATGTGGTGAACAAAGATGAACAAAGTATATAGCGAAGATGAGGCTGTGTCGAAACCAAGAAACTTCCGCAACATAATAATGAAATCACACAGGGCCATCCATCAAAGATAAACATAGACAAACAGACCTTCGTCTTCACTCACATGTGCTCCCCAATTTTTCTACTGTGAGTTTGTTTTTCCATTTTTGCTATTTTCATGCCATCTCAGAGTTTGAAAGGTCTTTCTTCTGGAAGAGAGCTTTCTGGACAGCAGAATGCTCTGTTGGAACCGATGTGTAGGCATGTTGCTGAGCATGTTACGTGCAAAGTCTACTCAGGTCACTCGGTTTACTCAGTTTACCCATGTTTACCCTTTGCGATCAATGTCCTTGGCTTGGCAAAACAAACAGGAAGCCCAACAAAGGGCCGCTGATTTGCTGAGCTGTGCAGCAGGCGCCCAATGAGCCCACTGCCGCAGTGTCAAAAGTTGAGCGACCGGGGGCATCCCGCCAGGTGCTATGACACATTTGACATTCAGAATCATTCATAGTCAGTCAATATTTTGTGACATGGTTTAACATGTTTTAACCCATTGCATACACCATATTTCAACTACAGTATTTGTAACATTTTGTAACTCATCTAGCTCATTTAACATCATTTCGCCGTGATTTTGAGGATATTCAAATATATTCAAAGTGCATGGTTTCTGTCATTGTTCTTTGATTGGCCTTAAAGGAACATGACCGGATTGTGTGTCCGTGGGGAAAATAAACGAGAGTCCAGAAAGGGCCAGCACCGCTGAGGCAATCGCGAAACTCTGTGGCATTTGGCCTGCAGATATCGAAATGTGCCTCTTGCGAAGCAGCTTCTCGAACACAGTGCTCATTACGCAGAGACAGGAACTGGAGAAACACCCTTGGATCTTGTTGGCAGTGGAGATAGCACGCGTGAAGACGTCCTTGACCTCCATCAGGCTTGAGTGGGGCTGTCCTCTTGGGGGAAGCATCCTTAGTAATAGTATTCCTTTGTCACCACATGGGCAAAGGCGTGTTACAAATCAGTAATTTGTGTGAAGCCTCAAAGGTACTTGACGATCAGGACCTATGATTCATGACAATTCCTACTGCTATTGTGTTGGAATATATTGGAATGCTGCATCGCACGGACTGTAGTACATAGTCTCGCTCCTCGCGAGTTGTTAGGTTGATGTGAGAACTTGGGCGTTTTGAACTTGCGAATAGCACTTGTTGATTCCATGCAAAGCTTGCCTAGTTGATGTCCTGTGTCACTATGTGTGGCCAAAGTGGGATTGTAGGAGCTCAAAAGAAAAGCTAAAAACGGCCAAAGGTAACCACTGCAGTAGCGAAGACATTGATGCTTCACGAACGTGTCACCGAAGATGCGTTATTACTCTGTGAATTTATGCGGAAGTGGTTGGCTTTGCATCATGGTTGACATCAGTTGCGGACTGGACTTTGCATCATTACTCCGGTGATCTCCGGTTGTGCACATGAGAGATGGTTGATTAAAGGTTGGCACTACAGGCTGAGTGCGACTGAGCTTAACAGCTCATTGGTCACAAGTGATACTGAATACAACTGATATTGAATAACATACAATGGTTATAACGGTTGATGCTGTTGTTTGCTGTTGTTTGTTCATATTTGTTCGATCTTCTTTGGTTTCCGGTCAGATGTCGCTGCGACATGCCAGGAGGATGCAGCCTCAGATGTTGCAAGCCCCAGGCCTGGTACAGTGGCAGGCGGCTCTCCCACTGTACGTCGTCTCGCATCTGCGGCAGGATGCCAGACTTGTATATAATCTTGTATAATGATATAGTATGAGGATGATTGTGTTCAGAGTTCAGTTATGAGCTTGATTCTGTAAAACCAATGATTTCCTTATTTGCCATTGAGGTCTTGTGTAACTTCAGAGTCAATTTTTTGGTGTGAAATACATCAAGCCGAGGAAGCTATGCCATTTCAGTTGACGAGGAAAGCCGTGAACTAGCCAGACTCCTGATCTTTCTCGACTACCGCATCAAACTGGACAGGCACTCGGTAGTCCACAATGCCACCCGGGAGTGCTCCGTTATTCTCAAATCGAAGACAACTAAAAGAATATGAAAGAATATGAAAGAATATGAACGGATGAATTGGCGATGTTTGGCTACACCGTTGTTCCACTTCCTCGGTTGTATACAGGAAAGGACTGGAAGCGATCGGAGTGCATCCAAGACGGTAATCGGAACTCTGAAGAATTCAGATTCCAAGATGATGATGTGAACGATTGAAGATCTCCGTAGTTTCAAGATGTTTCAAGACCTGCCACATTGGTGTACATATTCATATTCAACGATATTCAACGTATTTTAAGGCTTCGTATGGACAGAATACAGTATGAGATATATAAATATGATATTGGGAGGGAATGGGAAAGGCGGACAATGTGAAGCATCCGAAGTTCAAGACCCTGCAGGGACCGAAAGAGAAAAGAGCAAAGGGAGAACGATTCTGGTTACCCACGAATTGTGGATCGCTACCACAGACAATTTCTTTTGGACGAACGTGCTATGATCCTGATGCGTGACCATGATGACAAGGCTTGGGCCCCATACAGACCCCTGCAGGTTTGGACTTTCATCGTCAGGATTTGTGCCATATGGTCAATAACATTCAGTAACATGTAATCAAATGTATATAATGAAATGTTTCCAAGACTTTGAATACTGATAATCCAAAATCATCCAGATCCTTCTGCAAGACTACTGAACCCAGACTGAACTTATAATATCTTATAATGTTTTTGCATGTTTTTGCAACACTTTTCGACTTGGTGGCTGGACAGGTGCTTTTACATTACTCCGCGATGTATGGCCACTATGCAGACGTGGAGTGGCTTCTCCAACATGGAGCCCAAGTCGTTGTATATGACCAGCTTGCCTTCCACGACTTCCGGGTGACCATCGTGAAACCCTCAAAGCCAGAACTGGAGAAGGCTTGGTTGGGCTTGAAATGGCTTGAATTAAACATGTGACTGAAGGACTCAGAGGCAAGATGCGACAGTAGTACTGTAACTCTTTCTTGGTTCCTTCGGTGTTGAAGATATTGAAAAGTATGAAGAGGTCATACCTTGTTGTTAATTTTATCTAATTTTGAGAGGCCTGCTCGGCATTGCGTGCCTTCCAGACAAGTAGAATCTGCAGTAGCTTGTGCGTCCTCAGCCCACTATTTGAACAAAACCTTGGGAGCATTCTGGTGATTTTCATGTGCCTGCACTCTTTCACATGTCACTTGTGGCAATCACGCGAGGCCTACACTACAGCAGATGGAGATGTGAACATTCCGTTCCCAGAGTTTTGTTGGCGAAAGACAGTACGGAATCCTCCAGGTAGAGCTGCGATTTTACCGCTCCAAGACATGCCAACCTGTCTGGGGATGCGGCAGGAGAATCCCGGTACTTTCATCACAAGCGCCCCCAAGGTCTGAAACTCACGCTATCCCAAGCCTCAAGAGTGACATTCAGAGCTTTCAGATGTCCATTCCGGCTACTTGTAACATTGTACTTAGCCTCCCTTGATCTCCCTTCAACAGTGATTTCACCGTGACTCCTGGCATTTTGAGTCTCGAAGGAGTCCGTCTCCGAGATGGTTACGTGGCATGTTGGTTTTGAGCGACCTGAACGATTAGATGGATTTCGGTGGTCAAGACAGGATCTACCGGAACAGGACATTCCCCGCAGCCTCAGTTCAAAGTCAAAAGGCAAGCAGCAGTCCAATCGTGTCCCGACTTAAATGACTGTGGTGCTGGCACTAGAACTTGCTCAATCATGCTCATCATGCTCAATGTCTCATACCAAGCCCTAAAGATGGTCTACGCCACGCAATTGCAGTATGACAGTACAATGCAACATGTGAGACACACACACAAACACATGTGCATATATGTCTTTATAATATATTATATATATAATATTAATATTATGATATTACTCACAGGATGAGTCAACGCTGATTCAACAGTTTCTAGTCCCTGCTGACCCAGGAACTCTAAGATACTGGGCATTGGAGGCGCGAAGTGGCCTGGAGGGCCTGCCTGGATCAAGAAATACATCTGCTGCAAGAGAGTCTGGTCATGTTTTAGCACAAACTGTTCATATCCAGTGCTTTCATAAGTTTCTGTGAAGTTCAGGAATGACACAAGCAACACAAGTCATATAAGATTCAGGATTTTGGTGAGAGCGACTACACGATGGTATAAACTATATGGGGAGAACTTGGTGGTAGTTTCCTGCAAAAGCTTAAGAAATCTAGCACCGCGATGGTACTTTCCATCCAGGGCTAGAGATAGTATGTGTTTCGAGTTTACAATGAGCCCTCATATGACTCATACGATTCAAGTTTACCCATGCGGTAATACGGAAGCTGCTAATTCTTCTTCACAATGACTCTTTGTATGGCCTTGCCTACGCACTTGTTTCTGGTTGTTTCATATTGGGGTCCACGTTGTTGATTTGTAGTGCACCTCCGTCCTTTTGATCACTCTGGGTCTGTTTGCGGCCAGCCTGGCTAACGATTGCTTTTGAATGCTCACGCTGGCTTTGGGTTAGGTTTAGTTATTCATTGCATGCTAAGCCTGCTATCGCAGTAGAACTTTGAACAGCATCCTGAAGTCGGTTTGCTGCTGCAAAAGCTGTGCAGTTCTGTAGCACTTTTGCCCGCAATAGACTTGTGGAAACGTTAGCTGTGACATGCTGTGATCATTATGACAAAATACCTCAAGGATGTGTAGCTTCATGCTGCTTCTCTGATAAGGAAGAATGGGTGCTTTTGAACCTTGAGTTGGAAGGCTTCAACATCGAAGATCCATTTGATTTTGAGAAGGGAGACGTATGTGAGCTACACACGCAACGGACGCCCTTGGACTATGCCTTGGAACTATCTGGCTTGTTTTCAGATGGTGCAACTGATGAAACGCACGCTGCGCGACATTCCACGGTATGCAAGAAACTTAGCTGCAGCTCAAACTAGACGACGGATGGCCCGAGAGCGTAGAGGAGCAGAGTCTTCTGTTGTTAGTATGGAGACACTATATTACAAGATAATATATTAAAGATGTATTATAGGCAGACGAGAAGAGTAGTATCAAGACAATATATGACTAGTACAAGACAATAGTTTGCATCGTATTTTTGTAAAGTTTTTCATACACAGAACTTTTTACAGACAGACGCTTTTGCACACAGAGACTTTTACACACAGACGCTTTTACACACAGACGATTTTGCATACAGAGACTTTCACACCCAAACACTTTTACACACAGAGACTTTTACATACACAGACGCTTTTACACACAGAAGCTTTTACACACAGACGCTTTTACACACAGACGCTTTTACACACAGACGCTTTGACACACAGACGCTTTTACACACAGACGCTTTTACACACAGAGGCTTTTACACACACAAGCTTTTACACACAGACGCTTTTCACACAGACGCTTTTACACACAGACGCTTTTACACACAGAGGCTTTTACACACACAACCTTTTGCACACAGACGCTTTTGCACACAGACGCTTTTACACACAAACACTTTTACACACAAACACTTTTACACACAAACACTTTTACACACAGACGCTTTTACACACAGACGCTTTTACACACAGAAGCTTTACACACAGAAGCTTGTACACACAAACACTTTTTACATACAAACACTTTTACACACAGAAGCTTTTACACACAGTTGCTTTTACACACAGACGCTTTTACACACAGATGTTTTTACACACAAACGCTTTTACACACAGACGCTTTTACACACAGACGCTTTTACACACAGACGCTTTTACACACAGGCACTTTTACACAAACGAAAGCGTCCATGGCAATTTTACCTCAGTTTTTAACGTCCAACGTCCATTTCGTGCATAAGGGCTGCGAATAACAAAGTAAAGTCGCAATTTTTCCTCAGTTTTTGACGTCCAACGTCCATTTCGTGCGTAAGGGTTGCGATTGACAAAGAAAAGTCGCAATTTTTCCTCAGTTTTTGACGTCCAACGTCCATTTCGTGCGTAAGGGTTGCGATTGACAACTCAAAGTCGCAATTTTTTGGCAGTTTTTGACGTCCAACGTCCATTTCGTGCGAAAGGGTTGCGCGCGACACCTCAAAGTTGCAATTTTTCCTCAGTTTTTGACGTCCAACGTCCATTTCGTGCGAAAAGGTTGCGCGCGACACCTCAAAGTTGCAATTTTTCCTCAGTTTTTGACGTCCAACGTCCATTTCGTGCGAAAGGGTTGCGCGCGACACCTCAAAGTTGCAATTTTTCCTCAGTTTTTGACGTCCAACGTCCATTTCGTGCGAAAGGGTTGCGCGCGACCAATAAAAGTTGCAATTTTTCTTCAGTTTTTGACGTCCAACGTCCATTTCGTGCGAAAGGGTTGCGCGCGACGCTTCAAAATCGGCAATTTTAACCTCTAGGTTTGTTGGACGTCCAAAACGTCCATGTTCGTCGTGCGAAAGGGTTGCGTTCGTTCGTGGCGCTCCGGGCGGCACCGCCGCCCGCCTTAAGAGAGAATAGAAGAAAAGCGAGAAGTTAGATCTGCAGATGTGAGGGTGTGAAGATCTAGATCTGCAGGTGTGAGGGTGAAGATCTAGATCTGCAGGTGTGAAGGTATGAAGATCTAGATGTCCAGATGTGAGGGTGTGAAGATCTAGATCTGCAGGTGTGAAGGTGTGAAGATCTAGATCTCCAGATGTGAGGGTGTGAAGATCTAGATCTGCAGGTGTGAAGGTGTGAAGATGTAGATCTGCAGATGTGAAGGTGTGAAGATCTAGATCTGCAGATGTGAGGGTGTGAAGATCTAGATCTGCAGGTGTGAGGGTGAAGATCTAGATCTGCAGGTGTGAAGGTATGAAGATCTAGATGTCCAGATGTGAGGGTGTGAAGATCTAGATCTGCAGGTGTCAAGGTGTGAAGATCTAGATCTGCAGGTGTGAAGGTGTGAAGATCTAGATCTGCAGGTGTGAAGTTGTGAAGATCTAGATCTGCAGGTGTGAAGGTGTGAAGATGTAGATCAGCAGATGTGAAGGTGTGAAGATGTAGTATAACGGCTGCTTTTTTACGAAGAACCCTTCGCAGGCGCTCTCGGGAAAAAGCTCGGTACCATTATGCTTTACATGAGCAATTCTGGAGATCTCACGGACAGCCCCTACAGAGACCTCAAGAGATGCAACAAATGTTGAAGATATTTGTTTGTCGATCCTTGGTATTTCACAAACATGATGCCATCTATGACATATGTCATGTCATTTTATTATGGACATTTCCCCATAAATGGGACAAAACAACTCGGTACCATGATGCCGTGTATAACACATGATAATTCATTTTAGCATGCAAATACCCACATAAATTGCCAAAAAAAACTCGGTACCATGATGTTGTTATTCGCAAAGGTGACAAAGGTAAGAAAAGTACACAAAACACACAACAACGACACGCACTCGTCCTGGAATCACGGAGTTCTCCGACCGTCACTGGATCGTGACGTGAGCGCATAGCTTGCAATGCAGGCGTCTGGCGAGGATGAAGTAACTGCGTCAGCAAAAGCCAAGCAAACTGTAAACACTTCTTGTTCCCATAGCGAGCAGATGGAAAACATTCGGACCAATAGCACACCTCCACGTCCTGGTCAAATCTTTCCCAACCATATCTCCGCATCAGGCATCGCAGGTACGTCGCGTCTGCAGCATCCAACTTACCTCGACGCCGGCGCACCTCGCCCTCATCATCCACCACCAACGCTTTCGTGCCCCACAGGATGCCAAGGACCACCTGCAAGCAACGCAAAGACCAAACCACCGCGAACCGGCAAGACACAAAAAAAAAACTAACGCAGGCCATACAATAGTTTCGACAACCACTCACCTCCACCACATTGTCACGATCCTCATAACCACCAGAACTGTCCCATTCACAAGCAGCTGTAAGTGTGTGGACATCCCACAAAGGGCTCGCCACTTCCAACATGTCCGCGTCGATGGTGAACCCCACCAAACGACACCATTGAAGTCGTCTTTCTTCCGATACACTCAGCAAAACACAGGACAACAATGCCACGACTTGATGCCGCAGCAAATGCTCCATGCCAATGGAGGCGAAGTAACCTGGTAAATCCAATAAATCAACAGAATCCGTGACAGCTTTGCTGGGCCACGATTGCTGCACTTCATCGAAAGTAGCAAGAAGCGGCAACGTCGCATCCACCACACGAGCATCCAAAGAAGCAAGCGAAAGATGCAATCCCTCCACCTGACCCATGGTCTTGTCGGCCAAAACCGCCAAAATACGCATGCGATCTTTTTGTTCTGGAACAGCATCTCGAAGCAATGTAGTATCAGGCGCCGAAGGACTTTCCAAACATCGTTTCAACCAGCCCCACAAGACACTTGCACCAGATGCAAGGGTATCATC